TCTCCACTGACCTCTACATCAAACCCACAGACAAACATATGTATCTATTGTACTCTTCTTGCCATCCATTACATACTAAAAGAGCCATTCCGTTCAGTCCAGCACTCCGCCTACGACGAATCTGTTCAACATACAAAGCTTTTAAGACTCGCGCCACTCAACTTACCACATACCTTCTCAAACGAGGTTACAGCCATAAATTCGTCACCAAACAAATACAACGCGCCGCTGACATCTCCCGCACACTCACCTTACAAACTAAAGACGTAAAAAAACCTAACCGTATTCCATTTATAACTACTTTTAATCCGTCGCTTCCTCACATCTCCAACATCATCAAAAAACACTGGCATCTACTGCAGTCTTCTAACCGCTGCAAAAAAGCTTTTCCTCAGCTGCCAGTTGTCGCCTTCAGACGCTCCCCCAACCTTCGCGACACATTAGTAACAGCCAAACTCCCCTCTAATTCTACCACTTCCCATCCTCAACTCCCCCCCGGCTCTTTCCGTTGTGGTAGAAACTGCGCTACTTGCCCCTACATCTCTGACGGTCTTACTAACTATACCTTTTTTTCTACCGGCGAAACACGTCCCATTAAATCTCACTTGACCTGTGACACTAAAAACCTTATCTACTTAATTCAGTGTAACCGCTGTAACTTACAATACATAGGAGAAACTAAACGACGTTTAAAAGACCGTTTTAATGAACACCGCCGTACCATTGATAAACCTAACTCTAAATCTAAACCTACTACAGCGGCAGAACACTTCATTTCCTCTCCTAACCACTCTGCTCACGACATGGAGCTAATCGCCATCGAAAAAGTGTTTTCCAAGAGAGACTCGATACGCAAGGCCAGGGAAGCTTTTTTAATTTCAAGAGGCAACACTATTTATCCAGATGGCCTTAACGCTCGCGAAGAAATGTATTAGTTTCTAGTTATTTATCCAATTTACCTTACTTCATTTCTATTTTTGCTCACTATTTCTATTTTTATTGTTATCTCATTGTCAATCAAATTAGTTTTACATATTTCCGCTGTTACATCATACAGCTATCTATGAAGCATCACCCCAATTCTCTGTTAATTCCCACTGCACCTGAAGAAGGCTGGTTTGGCCAGCCGAAATATAGTGCTCCGTCTTAAAATTTACTTATCTACGTTGTATCGGTCTTGCCTCTATAGCTATAATGATGATCAATTATACCTCTGTGG